AGATTTGAAAAAATTTTGTCACATTTTGATTCCAAAGCAGGAGATTTTCAGGTAAGTATTTTTGTACCTTATAAGTTAAATGATGTGCTAGGTTAGAGAACTTCCCCAAAGGTCTTATAAACTAGAAAAAATATGAATTTCGAACGTAACTGCCACTCTTAGTTAAATATTTTGACGCTTAAAATTTCTTAAATATTCACCAAAGTTATGAAGCCGAAGACAGCTTTGTCCTTTCATTTTTCTTAGAAGGACTGGCCCAATCTAATGCAAATGCACCCTTACTATGTATAAACAGAATTTTTTATCCACTGGCTTTTAAGCCACACTTATTAGCTTATGTTAATTCATTGGATTTATTATATGTACTAATACATAAACATACGTAATAGTGGAAATATGCAGCATACATACATACATATTAACGTGTAAGTACATACGTACGCACATTGCTTGCTTACACATAATTCACGAGCCATTTAGTAGCTTACAAACCCAACATATAACGTTCGTGAATTTTTAATTTAATCCTTAATCGTTGGCCGTTTTCTACACCCTTTCCACGGCATTTAGTACGCGTCGGAATTGACACATACATATTTAAGCTTACTTATACTTTTGCAAATATGTACATATATGCGAGCATTTGTTGGTACTTATATTCTGCATACGTAACACAGCAACCGTTCCTAATAATACCACAAATTCATATGTATGGATGTCACAAATTTTCATTCATTAAACTAATTTTGCCAAATTAAAAAAAAAAAAATTCAGTAAGCATTACTTGCTGGAGAGCGCAATGACGTCAGTTGGTGTGTTTTCTGCTGACTGCTTGCTGTTGGGCATGTGGAACGCCATTTAAGCCTCTATTCAGTTTCGCTCAAACAGCCGTAGGTAGTGTCGTTAAGTATTTAGTCAGCATCAGCTTTACACTCTCCAACTATCTCTTTCCATTCTATTCTCTCACCTAAGTAGTTCCCTTTCAATTGCAATTGATTAATTTTCATGTACTTCTATGTGACATCATTTATGACAGCTTAGCTTTGCTCGATTTCGCTTAATACTCGTATATATTTACTTACACCGCATTTGTGTGTAATGCCAGCACATCCGTTTTGTTGCTCGCAAGTGACGTCGATTTACCTTACATGAGAATGTCACTGTCACTATGACACATTTTGGCGTTGACAGATATTGAATTGTACATTTGTAATTAACTGCTATTATGTGGTGCGCTAGATGTGAGCATGACTGCATGGCTGCTTTGGGTGATAATAAGCTGAGCGCGTGACAATATAAGCGATAGGATTTGGGTTGATGTTCGGAGCATACAATTTTTAAGTGGAATTTCGTTTAGTTTTTGAATGACTTTTAAACAAAATGTTCCGGAAGCAGCATGAAATTCGAGCTGGTGCTCTTACAGCGAGTTTATTATGCACAAAAACTACATACGCATGAGATAAATAGGCAATAACCGAAGCGATGAATCTGAGTCCAACCAAAAGAGAAATCCTTAGCATTTCCGAATAGGAGGAGAAATTAACTTGTCTCATGTGAAAATAAGCCTTCTGGGTTGTATATATGCTTTTCTAACGCCGTGGTTAGTCTTTGGAACTCTCAACAACGAAATATGACTATCCTCTTCTTAGTTGATTGTGATGGGAAAGAAGATCTTAAAAATATGTGTGAAGTTAAAGCTCGGAAAGGCCAGCTCCACAAAGCAAACGACCTTGAGAGTGGATTAGTGTATAAGCTTTCTACTTTTTTTGTTTTTAATTACAATGGGTAGAGGAGACAGATCCATAAGCGCCTCGATAGTCATGGTCAATGTTTTTTCTCATCACACCAGTATTGCTCACACAGGCTAGTCTATGCTGAGCTTAGCCTGGTTGGACATCGCTTTTGCCGTTTTTCAACAGATCGTCGCCGCATGTATGCATACCTAGCGTGCGTTTAATAATATAGAAAATTAATTAAAAATTTAAGTTTATGAGATTTTATCATACATCAGTCTAACAGATAACTATATTATTAAACGTGCGATAAATTTGAATGGGGTATGATATCGTACACCCATGTTGCCAATTTATGTGTGATACCATATTTCCTCTCTATTACCTACGAGCAGGTCCAAATGTAGACTCTTTTAAATAGCTTTATCTAGGTACAGATTCCAAGAGAGTTTGCCATCATATATAGCTCTCAGATATTTGACTTCTCTAGGGAAGTATTTACATATATAATTTCTCTTTGAATAAATTGTTCTATCGATTTATCTATTTTAATTTTTCTTTCCATGCTAGTCTTCAAGGATTTAAGCTCAGCCTATTTCTTGGCATCATTTGGTAACTATTTTTAGCGCATTCTCTGAGAGGTTAGAGAGAGTGTTTTCGAACCTTTCTCTAACATAGCACACATACATAGATAACGTAGAGATGTCATACTAAATGAGACGATACATATCAAACCTGTTTGAGTCAACCATGAGAAATTGTGCGTGCTTAAGTAAAATGTTAAGACTTCCTTGTTTTAAATACGGCTGAATTTCAATTTGTAATGCAAATTTTTAATTCCATCTAACTTGAAAAGTACTGTTCTACCGATTTTTGTTTCTTTTGAGGATGATGTGCGATGTAATAAAATATTCTTAAGTTATAATTTGATGGCACTGCAGAGTATGCTCGACCTACGCTAATGCATCCTCCAGACAATGCTTCCGGAGATTTTTGCTGACTTTACATAGCTTGTAATCATGAAGAGGTGATACCTGATGGTTGCCACTGGCCACAGTGCCTACCAGTACTTTTTTAACCAGTAAATATTTGTTTTATATAAATACATGCAAGTATTATAGTCTCCCCTTTCAATGAGTTATTCAACTTAAATCCAACTCAACTCACCTCACCTTATCTCAAGGCATTTCAAGTCAACTATTCTTACTTCATATTGTCTCATCTCAACTCACCTCACCTCGACACACCTCGCCTCAGATTACTCACCTCATTTTCACTCACCGCACCTCAACTAACTTCACCTCAACTGACTTCATTTCAACTTACTTAACTTAAGTCACCTCACCTACACTCAACTTATTTCACTTTAACTCAATTAATTCAACTTAGCTCACCTACAATCAACTCACCTTAACTCACCTCAACTCACTTCAATTCACTCACACATTGATCTTGCTATAAACGTCAACGAAAGTACTGTATATTGGTAAATATTCAATTCAATTACGCGCATATTAAAATGACCGCGTTCATACTGAAAAAGCATCCGCGAAGTGAATAATCAAGACAAAAACTAAAAAAAAATTTAATTTGCATGTTGCCTGCAGTAGAATTCGAACCCGACCATCTCCGGATATCAACAACTTATGGCAAGCATCTCTGCGCACTCAGCTACACCCAGGCATATAAATTTGCTTTTAAATGTTGAATATCCATCAACACCACGGCACGCGATTTGTACTATTTATGTATGTGTGTGTTCCCTGCAAAAATCGCGACTACTCCATGCATGCGTGTAAAGAGTACTCCCTAAGGACCAAGGATTACTCCAAAATTAACCACAATTCATATAAAAAAATATGATCCCATTAACATTGCGATGTCCTAGGGCATTACCATATACTCCATCCCTAAATTACATCAGAGTAGCACAAAACTACTCCAACATATTAACAATGGCATTGTTGTTATATTTTTTCGTTTGTACACGCTTCTATTCTTCACTTCTCAGATGCTTTTTCGAAATTAATAAAAACCAAAAACAAAAATTAAAAATTACATGCTGCCTCTGACGGCATTCGAACCGGAACATGCTCGGAGCTAACAACTAACAGCGAGCATCTCTACACGTTCAGCTACAGCCAGACATGCAAATGCGCTTTCAAATGCTCAACTTCAATCACATTTCGTTAAAACACTAGCAGTGATCGGGTAACAAACAATAAGCTGGCACAGAGACATGAGTTGGTCCGCTACAGCATGACAGAGGAACACTTTTGTAAGTACTCCAATATACCACAAATAGACTACATAGCTTCCAATAATCAGCGCGCAATTGAGATAATTGTATCTAATTAGCTAGTATATATAATAATAAATTCACGCTTCAATAATTAATTGATATGCTTGGATAATTTAATACAGTATAATCTCAAAAGCTGTTGCTAATTTCCTCAGGCTAAAAAAAATTTATGAAAATGCCTCTAAATCATGATAAACGAGCTCAAATAATTTGCATGATTATTGACTGCAGCTGAATAAATGAAAGAGTTAGCGTAATTAAATATGACAGTTTAGTTTGAGGTAAAATGACTAGTGAAATTTTGCGCACCTCCATGGTTGGACTGGATCGGTGTACTTTTTTATCACTCAAATAATATATACATGAATAAATGAAGTTACGCCTACAAATTTTCATACTTAAATATGTATATGTAAGTATATGATGTTGTTTGACTGAATAGAAACAGCTGCTGGCGCTTTAATACCTTTTACTGCGTCTTGTCAAGCATTAGCTTACCGCATACACATCTACACGTTTTTAAATTTCATGCCAGACTACCAACGTACAAATGTACATAGGTATGTATCTAGTTGAGTTATAAATACAATTTTCACTCACATAATTCTATTTCAATGCTATTTCGTATTACTTTTCGACGTTTGATTGAGATATTGCGGCACAAATTTTTATGTACTCATTTCACATTTTTTTGTGTATATTTATATATAAGAGAATCTACTATGCGTCTGCTGACATATTTTATATATAACATTTGTGTAGACATATTCATGTAAGTGGTCATAAAGGCAAAATTTGTTTCCCTTTCGGTGCACCACGGCGTATACGTAACATGCATGTTTATCGCTTAACAGTATTTCATATTAAAATTTATAAGCGCATTTTATTTATTTATGTTTAAATATACAGTACAATGTTCCTTACAGACTAGAAGAGATATAAAATAGAGATAGTTAATAATACCAATTAATATGCAAAGTAAATAGGCGATTAAATTAAGAACTTTAATAAAAGTCGATTTAGACAAAGAAAAGTCTAGCTGATGTGAGTTAGAAACAGCATTAAATTCCCGAAGTGCTCGAGAAATCGGGGCGTTACTTGCATATTTAGTTCTGAAGCTTTCCCAGTAGAAGGAGTAAACATTTCATAGGCTTCTTTGAGGAACATTAAAGCTCATCCGCTCAAGCAAAATTGGTCAGTTAATGATGCCGCTAATTATATTATAAGTGAACGATAATGAAAGAACTCTTCTTCTCTTTTCTAAAGTGCTTAAGTTAATCAGCATCAGCCGCGAGCCATAAGATGGAACAGGAGCCTAAAACCGCAGCGAACGCAGTGCGAATTTCAGAAAATAACGCAGAAATATATGTATATCTTATTATCTCGTAAATATTTTTGATATCGGCATCTAAAAATAGACAAATATCAGATGCCATGTAAGTACATATGTACGCATATATGTATGTATGTTTGCATATCATCGAAAAAACACAAATACGTCGATGATGTGTAAAAGTGAAAACAAAATTGATATCACTTAGGTGGCATAGTATGTATTGTGAATATCAGTGTAATACGCTTTGACATATTTATGTTTTTATTTGTGCGTGTGCAGTTTGTGCCTACTTATGCGTGTTTTAGCTGAAAATGTTATGGAATAGTTGTGAATAGTTTTAGCTTGAAATCGTTTTCATTTAATACCGACATGTGATAGAGTATTTATGTGTGCATATCTATACAAAAACACGTACATATATACTTACATATTTGAGTGTACCCACTAGGAAAAAGTGAAGCTGGATTTTTGGTTTTCTATTTAAATTTCACACATAATGGTATACGAGCTGCAGACTTGCTATAAATTCTGGAAAGATAGCGCTCGTACTATTTACCACGGGGTATAAAGTGTCTCCTACCCAGCTCTCCTTGATAGCGAGCGTTTCAATTATGCTCCTTAACGGGATCAAGTTCTTGGGCATGATCTTGGACGGAAAATTGTCGTGGAAGCCAGGTATTGAAGAGCGAGTAAAAAAGGCATCAGCGGCTCCTTACTGCTGTAAAAACGCCATGGGACCTCTCTCCAAAAGTGATATCACTGATGTCTATATAAAACCATAATCAAGCCGCAAGAAAAGCCAACTCTTGTCAAGAAGCTTAATGACAATACAATCGGTTTAAAGACTTACGTGGCTAAGTTAGATTTCCTGCCAGGCACATGCGCTTTTTGGTGCTTAAATCCTCCGTTATTTTTCACATATGTATGTACAAGTATGTATATATATGTCTATGCCATGTGCGCATGTATGTATATGCATGTTTGTTCGTATGTACATATATATTTGCATTGCCTGTGCGTTTTTCTCTATCTCTGCCAATTTGTATATACGCATGAGTAGTATTAAGGGTGTGATTTCTCAAGGTCATGATGCCAAATTTCTCTCATCCTTTTTTAATTCGCATTTCCTAGAAAAGGCAAACGTGTAATCAATGCACTGATTTCGTTTTCATATTAGTTTCGTTCGAACAGATGCTTATCAACTGTTATTCTAACTAAGTGGCTCGAAATAAAGGATGATATTTTGGAAAGTTACAAAAAGAAGCAGACCGCTGCGAACGATTAAAGGAGGCCCTTCCACAAGGCACAGAAGTACAATAATTTAATTTGAAAAAAATTTTTGTTAGAATGCATTGACGAAATCTTAAAAAATAAGTCGGCTTCCATAGAAGCAAAAACATAAAATTGATTTGTTAAGAATAGCTAATTCTGGCCACAAACTGTTTCCGTCTTTCGCCGGTTTCTGGGAGGAAGAACTCCTCCAAGTTGGGCTTGCGAGTGACTGGCGGAATGCTCAAACTCTTCCAAGACGGTGGAAATGGAAGGAAAGTACGCTATCTTGCAAGCTCGCGCAGCATAGCTTTTGTCGGAGTGACGCACAGCACGCTCACTGATCCATAGGAAAATACTTTGTACAGCTCTCCTCCTCCTTGCCTCTAAAGATTTACTTTACTCCCCAGCATGGTGACCAGATGATTGTTAAAAAATTACGCTGAATTGACTTAAAAAAAGGCTAGAAAAAGTAAGACAGTGAAAAAAAGCTAAAGAACATCAGCACTTTTACACTAACAAATTGAAAGGCAACTCCATAAATTCAAGAGAACGGAATTTTTTCGCTAAAAACTTCGCAGTCGCCCTTAAGAGACCTTTTTCGAAAATACCAACTTAGCTTTGCTCGACAAATCGCCACACGGATGCACCAATTCTTCCTTGATTTGAAATCATTGGAGGGTGCCTTGTTCCAAATTTTGGTGTATCACTGTACGACTCATGATACAAAAAGCTCCATTTTAATCAAACCTTAACTTGGAGTGTTCTGTCAGGTAGTCTGTAAGAGCTTTAAGACCCTCGTGGTTAAGTTCTAGAAGTTTGTCGGAGTTCCTCCTAGAATGAGTTATGAATTTATTCGATTGCCTCATTTTCTATGACTTCTGCCAGTGGGCAGCAATCTGAGATTCCTCCCAACTCGTAGACATGCCACTCTAAATGCCTCTAAGGCGTTTAGTGGTGCCTGATTATCTGACATAATATTTATTCTGGCCCCATTTGTCCTTCTGTGAAGACATTCGTGAACAAAGACTTCGATTGTGAATACTTCCGCCTGTTATACAGATGGATACGCGCTCATAGCAGAATTTTCAGAATCTTGGTAGCTTACCAGGTGTTGCACATTATTAGGTGCGCCTGCTATTGTTTTTGAAGATTTTTGGCAATTGAAATTAGCTATAGCGAAGGATGGAATCGGGCTGCCGGTCACACTGCTCCCCAAATCCTACTTATAGTGTGCTCCTGCTAGCAAATCTACTCGTCGATACACCCGCTGAATCAGCCTGCACCAACTTGTCCCCAGTTTTGTTCTACAAATATTATAGGCTATATTCCTTAAAGGATAATGAGCTTTCAGTATGCGCTACAATTCCGTAAAATGCTGCTTCTGTGCACTTACCCTCTTCTTAAGCTTGCTATAGCTGTCACCAGCTTGTCAGCGAACACTTGGTAAGTCAAGAGCTCCTTTAGGCAGATAAAGTCATGAGTTCGGTGATGGAAATATGTAACTCTGGACTTTCTCCACCTATTGAGTACCTTAGTGGTTAAGAGTAAGGACCGAATTATGGCATGCAACCTGTTTGCACTACATTCCAATGATTCTTGTGATTGAAAGGGTGTGACCCCGTCTGGCTGTAGAGTCTTATATGGCTTGAAGGCTCCAATAGCCCGGGAAATATCGTGTTGATCCTCTCTATCCAAGTGCCATCGGACCTCTGCAGGCCTACTGGTGCTGTTCGGGATGCTCCCCAAACACATTCCAAGTCTGCTTAACAACCTAAACTACATTTAGGTGCTGCAGGGCTGAATCCATAGGGGTTCTTCTCGCTTTTCTTACTACTTTTTCATAGTTCTGCGATTTCTGTTTGTAAGCAGAGGCCGTGGATAACTGCACAACTTTCGAAGAATTTCGATTTCCAAATTCAACTTATGTGTTTTTTTTTCTAGGCTTCTTACTAGGGCGGGCTTGGTTTGACACCCTGCAGAAAGCATTCGTTAACCAATCTGGCAGGAATCCAGTTCCACCTGATTTTTCGGTGAATCTGGAATGCGGTTTTTTGGACAGAAGTTATGGGTATGAAAATCTATATTTCTACATAGAAATGGGAGGCTTGTCTGTTGAATATAATGACAACGGTTGTGGGAGGTGTGCTCTCGAAGGATACTGCAAGTTCTTCCGTTCAACGTGATCTAGGTCAAATTCTTTCAGGAATGCTGCTTTGATTTTTTTTCACAAAATGTTTTTATTCTCAGTTTCCTAAAGTATCAAATAAATGGAGCGAATATAAATCTCTCAATGCAGATTTAAATATGCTATAGGGCGCAGTAACCCACCGACGTAATTTCGAAGACAATGTCAGCTGACACGACCTATCTAATAAGATTTTCGTGTTAACGAAAACTCATCACCGCATAACGGTAACGTTGTCTTGCTTTTCTCTCTCTCAAGAAAAAATTTTAAATATTGATGGCAGCATTTACGAAGCTATTTGTAGCTTCTCATCCTTTGAGTCACTTGGACTCGATGCATCCACCCACACTGATGCTATGTAATTATTTCAGAATTAACCCTAGAACGTATAACCGGTTACCCGTTTGTTCACTAGCAATTTTGAACTCCTATATCTAAAGTACCACTACTAGCAGAAAATTGGAACTTCGCATCTAGGAAACTAAAGAATTTTTTCGTCGTTTGAGTTGTCAGCTATAAAATTCGGTTCAGTGGTACCGCACCTGTAAGCTTCTAAAGTGGACACTTGCGAAAACACATAGCCCGGGTACCCGTGTGTCCACTAGTTTTCATATGAAAAACTTTGCGAATAGCAAGCTGTTCATAGGCTTTATCGCAAAATTTTTCCCAAGACTTATTTAAAAAGTGCATTACAAAATTTGAATATGAAATTTTAAATGAAAATATTTTATTAAAATATACAAATTATTTCGGTCACAAAGGATGGCGTTGGCGTGGGTTCTAGCAGCTAACGACTTCCAGTGTTTATGTGAAGTATCATCTGGTTAGCAACTGGATATCCATTCGGGAGGCAGCTAATCTGAGAAGTCACACACCCAGTAATGGGTTGCGCGCTGAAGCGGACTACGAGTGAGACCCCGTCGTCTAATACTGTCGTTCATCCTAGTCGACGACCGTTTCCATAATGCGGATCAAAGCGAGGATTTTCAATATATTCTCCCGATACGATAACAAAATCGTGGTTGGTAGGTATCACAGTCCGAAAGTTGATCTTTCACAACGGAATATCTGATAAAGGACCGATACTCATCAACTTTGTCGGTGCCAGAAAATTGAGTGCTAGGTTTCAGCATAAAAAGCTCCCTCAAGCCAAGTGGCTGCCTCTGACATGTTGTGAATTGCCAATTGCAGGCTTCCAATGTTTTAGACGTACGCACATTCCGAACACATCGACTCAGACCACTTTTTTGTCGAAGAAAGCATACGCACAAGCCTTGGTGCTGCTTCTTCTTTTTCATCTTCGTCGACCGATTCAATGTCTCCAAACGCTATTTCTAATTCTGCATTTACAGGAAATTCTTCCGTGGACGTCCCTAACATTAGGCCCTTGTTCTTCCCTGCCCTCAGATAGATAATCTTCTCCTTCGTCACAATGGTGTCAAGTCAATCATCTGACGCTTCCAGTAAGTTTGATTCTGGTAGCGTTTGCAAACATATTTCTCCGAGACTGGATTGTAAGAGTGCCGCTGCGAGTGGGGGATGGCCTGTACCCTGTACAGTGGAATATCGTTGTCGACAACTTACCAAAAGAGATGGAAAGAAGAGGCGGCAGAGCGATGGACTACTATTAATATTACACAGAGACTGCAAAGTAATCGCTCAAGCTGGTGCAGCAGCCGTGGCTAAGGAGTAAATTTTTACTGAAAAGTATGACAGCTGTTTATACTTCTATATCAGGGATATCGGAAAAACTGGAGCCTGGAACCCACAATTTGCTGCTTGTACCAACATTGCTACGACAAGAAGAACACTTCTACGCAGTAGTAGTTTTGGTAGTGGTAAAGCATCAAACCACCTCGAGAAGAAAGTGTACGTTGAAAAAACCGACAAAATTAAACCAACACCGTCTCCCCTCGAGGGAAGAATAGACATTGAATACGGTAAAGGTAGACGATCAATCGCAGTTTACACGGATGGATCAAACTTTATCAGAAAAGTTGGGGAAGGTATTTATTCGGAACAACAAGCTTCCACACTGGGCATACCCTGGAAAGACAACTACAGAAGTTGCATGAATGAGTATGAGGAACCGAAAACAAAAGCTCTTGGTAGCTACTTCTTTGATGATCCGGATGACCTCGACACAATGTATATAAGGAGCTTAAGCACTTTTTTTTGCTGAGCCGCAGTGGGTATAACTGTAAACAATATGCTACAAGATGAGGATTTAAGGGACTTAAGCAAAATTGATACGGTATCAATAAGTATGAGTTTGCTGGCTAAAACTCTGCTACGTCGCTACTTACAATGAAAGAAGCGATGCAATATTAGAAAGCCTTAACAAACCCACTCGTAAGGAAGTGAGTGAAAACCGAATTGGCTTAAGGTTGAAATCTGGATAATGCAAAAAAGTTGTTAATCTTATAATTTGTAGGCAAATAAAACTGGCAAACTAAACATGATGAACGGC